TAAAAAAAAAAAAAAGCTTGGCCGAGTCGACCATATATTTAGGATGGCTGCACCTCAACATTTCAAAACAAAATTAAATCGCTTAAAACGCATATTTAGAACCTAAAATATTAAAGCAAACGTTAAAAAGAAAAAAAAAAACGATTCAGCGGCTTAGTCGAGTCGAGATTAAAAGTCTATCGACTCGGTTTGGAAACGCAAAAATAAAATAAAACAATAAAAAAGAAGAAGAAGAAGAAGAAGAAGAGCTGAGCCGAGCCGAGCCGGCGGCTTATGAATAGTGTCACCACTCTTCACTCTTTTATTTAAGTAGGAAATAAGTCTACAATTTATGATGTACGTATAGCACAATCGAAATTTATATTATTTTTTCTCTCTCTAGTTTACACTTTATTCTCCACAATTTATCTAGCAAAATTGTACATGAACCGTGTTAGCCGTCCAGAGCGAATCTGGAATTATTCATTCTACATGGCCACTTATTGTAAATAAGTTGCAATCCATGATGCACACACTTCAAAAAAACTTGACATTTTTGTCGGATACCTTTCTTGAGATTGAAACACTTCAAAAGCCAGCACTAGAAAACAAACGTCCGAAAAAATTACCTTGTTTCCTACATTTAAGCTTAAGCGCTGTTTGGGAGAAATTAAAATCAGATTTTTAGTAAATTTTGATAAAAACTGATGAAATATGTTGTTGAAAAGTTGTGAGTCCCATAAAATGTGTGGTTAAAATTAAATGTTGACTTTGACTTGAGATTTTAATTCAAATCAAACAAGATATTAGTATGGCTTTTAACGAGGTTTAAAACCAAGAAAGACACCATCGTTGTTGCTGCGGAGTGTTCACAGTCTCAAATGAAAAAATAGAAGGAAAAGGAAACAAAATTGTTTCAATTTATTCTATATTCTTTCACTTTCATCCCTTCTTTTTTTTTTTTTTTTTCAAAAATTCATTTTTTTGGAAACTCATTTTCAACAACACATTTTTCAATAAAATAATTTTACACATAAATCGAAAACTTTTTATCATTTTTTAACCACATATTCTTAAAAAAACACTATTCCAAAATACATTTTTCCCCCCAAAATGGAGCTCAAACAAGGGATCTCAGTCTCTCATAGTGGAAAGGATAATTAAATTTAATATTTATGACAAACAAGTGAATACACAGTTGACAAAAGTTGTGAATTTCATAAAATGTATGATTAAAAATAAATGGTTGATTTTGACTTTTACGTTTCATCAACTTTTTAAGCTTTTCTACACGAGGAAATTACACGGTAATCGGTGTTTGGAGATTACTTTTCAGAAATCAAGTACAAAAGTTTAATAATCATAAATCAGGTATAATTATATATTTTAATATTATTATT